TTTAATAAAAACACAAACACCTCCAGAAGGATTATTATTTCTGCAATTAAAGAATGAATTATAACCATCTATTGAGTAAAAATTAGTTTCACTTTGGTAAATCCAAATTTCCGACATAATTATGACACTTATATTTTCAATCATGCTAGAAATATGTGAAATAAAATTATTAAAGTTGGCTCTTAAACTTCTAATATTTATATGTAAAATATTAATGTTTAACTTACAGGTTAAGGTAATAAAAAACTTTAAATCGTCCAAATTTTCAATTTTTAGGCAGTCCGGCACAGATAAAAATGTTTCTTCAGTTGGATGGAGTATTAAGGTCTTGAGATGATTTCACACGTATTATTTTGGACGATTCATCTTTTCTCAGGAATATTTTACCATCACGAACCCAACAAAACTTGAATCCCTTTTCAGATTTAGCCCTACGTGAAAGATAAAATAGATGCTTCAGTTCGGGATCATTGAAGTAAACAGGCATTTCAGTGAATCTGGAGTTGACTTCGCAGGTTGAAAGAGTTTACGATTTCTCAGTTTCTTTAAGAGCTCATCACGTACAGATTTGGATTTAACGATGATGGGTTTATCTTTATTAAAGCTGGGGACTCTGTGAGCGGTGATCAGATTTTCGGATATATTAGTATTCGCAACATTATCAATCTGAGATATTACTTGTCTTCATTTTCACATTCGGGTAAGTAAATGCTTACTAAAACATTAAATTGATATTTTAAAATTTTTATAATTATAAGTGAAATTAGACTTAAAACAATGGGTAAAATCAAAATATTCAAGGAGCGAGAAAAAGCGTATGCAACAGAGGCTACCAGCTGTTGCCAAAAAAACAAGTTTAACAAGTTTTTTACCAGTCCACCCATTAAAGTATGTTTCAAGATCGTGGTAATATCCTTTCCATGACTTTCCACCAGTATTTTCATGAGAATAAAAAAGTTGTCTAAACTTTTCAGTACTTAGTCTGTAGCACTTAAGCAAAAGAGATTTAACATAGTCATAATTTTCTGACAGTTCTGCTGGTTCTCTCATTATCATTTGGACAATTTCACTTGGTAACTGGTTAATTAAACAAGCCATTCACAATGTACTTGGCATTTGTACTCTTTTCATTACTCTCTCGAAATGTACTAAATAATGGCTGATATCCTCATTACTCGTAGAAAACTTTCTCAGTTGTGACTGCCAATCAACTTTTGGCACCGATGTTATTACTTCAGTTTCGACTACTTCTGAAGTTTTAGGAGCAATATCTAACTTCTTGAGTTCCAATTCATGTTCCCGATCGGCTTTTTCTTTTTCCAATGCATGTTCGCGATCGTTTTTTTCTTTCTGTTCTTGACCAAGGCGCTCGGCGTCTTCAACCAAATTTTCGACCATTCCTCGAACCATTTCTTCATCGTATTTCTCGCTATTCACTATTAACTTTCTCAAGTCAGGGATTTTCAAAGTAGTAGACGAAACATCTTCAGACAACTCATTAGCTACGTAACGTAACTGATCTTTACGAAGTCGCTATAAAAATGCCATTTTAAACTCAAAACTAATTATAGTTGCCTGTTTATCCCACTCCTGATAATGTAAGAAACAACTTTCAAAAGCGAAACAAAACAAACGCAGTTCATTTACTGTTTACTTTTATTAAATTTTACGCACACCGTTATTCTAAAAACTCAAAATCTATATCGTACACAAGAACTGCTGTTGCCAAAACATGTAATACTAAATATGTAATAAGAATATAATTAATGTTCACGTTCACACTTTTACACCAGCTTATTGAAAAAATCACGCCTTGCCAAATTGGTCAGCTTAAGGCTCCTATACTATCAGAGCTGACCTATCAAGCAATATTGGAGCAAAAAAGTTCACAAGTTAACGTTATGTTAGTATTGTGCTTATGTTAGCTCTTAGGAGCAAAAATAGATGATGAGTCGGCCTGTCTAATTCAGGGGCTCTAGGTCAGCTCATATCAGCAGAATACCTGACGTCGCCATTGATCCAGACTTTTTTCAGATCATCATCCAAAATTTGTCATGGTCCGTATGCATCACCATTAGGACTGGGCGATATTAGAAATTATATATCGTGATATATCGTCAGTTTTGCATCGCGATATAGCGATGTATCGCGATATAGTATTTTTGAATTTCATTTACTTTAAGGCACAGAAAGTCAGATTTCTATCAAGACTTCATACGCATATTGATTTAAATCAATTTATAAATTTGAAAATATATATGTTT